TAATGAATTAATTGATTATCATTAGTTGCAGCCCTTAAATTAACTGCAGTCCAATTTTGAGCCATGGACCGAAGTACCCTACGTAATATTACGATAGTAATCAGTGTTGCTTTATATTGGCTGGCAGGATGGCTCAGCAGTGTTCAATGCACCCGATTCAAGTGCTTCATGACATGAACAGCTGTTACAGTGACGAGATGTGTCACAATCATATCAGTTTCTCTAAAAAGGGTTTTTCCTGACTCATAATGAGTCTGTGACTGTAACTAACCTGTAACCTGCTGGTGGGTGGGGGTGTTGATCATCATGAAGATGTGTTTTGCAGAAACAAAACCTGTACAACAACATGGTAAAAAATGTCCAATAGTAGACTAGTAAACGTCTGACCTCTGACTAACTTGCGACTGCCTGCAGCTACAGCACAACGAAAGGCATAACAATCCTTTCATTTTGCGTGAAGGTCTTTACTTTCCTTTCACAAACACACTACCGAGCCAGAAAAACTCTTAGTCTCATACGTCTGCAGCAATCTATCCCTGAGAAGCTCTTTTGTTTTGTTCAACTAAGGATCGATCAGACACAGTGCTGGGCATCCTTGTGGTCTATAGTTGTCCAACATACCATGTATTTGCAATATCCCTTGTTCAACTCCTGCTGGAGACGTTTGTTGCTCTCTCTCCCTATTTCTTTATCTTGAAAAATGTGGAAAAATCAATCTTTAAAAATCCTGCCAAACCATGTTTTCCTGGGATTGATTTCTTGCTATGCACTTTCCTCCAAAAACACTTCATATACTTGTATTCCTGGCAGACATTTAGGTTAAAGTAATCGGTAGAAGGTGTGAAGAGAAAACTATTAACACTTCTGTAGGATGCAGCATCATTTTTATCATTGTAAAGCATGTTGTTGACTTTCTGGCTCTTGTCACAGACTGCGGGAGGTCAAAAGACCATATCCCGCCTGACATCGAGAAACATGTGATTCATCAACAGTGGTGAAAACATGAAAATTACCACAATTGCAGCAGGGAGGTTTTCACATGACAGAAGTGTTTTGCAAACAAGCAACTCCTTCCCAAACTTCCAGAAAGTCTTAACAATGGCTCCATAAACATCACACTCAAGGACACCGACTTTGCTTAGTCAAACAAAAAATTTCCTGAATTTACCAACCAAATGAGCTTCATGTCTTCTGTGTTTTTGGTCAACAATCAGTCAAACTATTATACTGGATACTGCCTCAGTCAGCAGATCCAGACAGACTGAGTCACACCTCAGACTGTATTCAGAAACTGATATAAAAGTCTGTTGGATGGATCCGTGCAGGTGGTGGGGCATGTTAGGCAAGCGCTTGATAATTAGATACCATGGCACTCAGTCACTGATGTTTTGTCTCATTAAAGAGGTCTATTTGAGATATTTAAAAGTGCTTTTTAAATCTCCAAGAGCTTAATGTCCTCACTATTAAATTAGCTGCCATTAACTTGCTCTCGCTCTCCGGCTTTCTTCCGTCGTTGCATCTCTTATGTTCACTGAGGAGTGAAACATCAGCGGCATCTTCCTCATATTGATCTGCAGCAAAGCTCTTACTTTGAGATTAATGTGGATTTAACAATAAGTAAGAGGGGATTTTACATGAAGTCACGTAAAGGGATATTTTTGGGAAGTGAATAGACGTCATTTGTCCACAAAACGACATCGGAGAAACATCGATTTTTAAGGTGAAACTACTTTATTTCGTTTTTTTTACTGGTTTTAATCACCGGGTCATAATTCGACTCTCGGTAGAAACCTTCTGAACGATGAATACTGAAGGATTCCCATGATACTTCCAGACATCCTCAAACGTCTTTTCTTATTGTTTTGATGTGAGAAACCCCCCTAGTGAGACTACATATTGTACGTGTAAAAAAAAAAAAAATAATCATAGTCATTTTAAAGTTGTAGACAGACTCCATGTGTGCGGTTTCAGACACTATTTGACACTCTGATAAGCATTTTGGCTAAAACATACTTACCTCTTTAGTTTTGTAAAGTTCACAGGGTTATTTCCAAACTTTAAGCAGAGCTATGGATCAGTATTTGAGCCAACTTAGGCTGGCGTACCTTCAAACTGCAGGCAGAGACATCTAGATTGGGACAGATTCCATGAGTAGATATTTACAGTGTCTCTATATGGGGAGGGCAGCCAAACGACACTTAATGCATTTGTCTTCTTTCTAAGTGAGGCGCATCAAGCGACAGTTTGACAGTGAGACTGCAATTAAGTTCTGATTTAATTATTCGAGATTCAGCTGACTTCACTTAGCTAAAGACTGTCTGCTCCCTCAGAAGTTGCATACTCCTTGTCCTCCTCTTCATCTTCCTTTCAGCAGCTCAGTGAAATAATAGTTCTGCGTCCAAGGGCGTAGTCTGATGTTATTTTGGCATGCATGGGCAGCGTTGTCTCTGATTTCATTATGTGATGAATCATTTTATTAAAGTGTAAACACGCTGAGATTAAGCTCTTGGGTAACAAATAATAGAAATACCAAAAACATTGTTTTCAGTGTGAGGAATGTTTTAATTATGAGTTCAATAGTTACAAGAACACACAAGAAAATATCTCTGCAAATTAGTGGCTTCAGACAATGAGTGTAATGTGATTTTTAAAACATTCTTTAGGACATTATGGTCTTTGTGGTGCTTCACACATAAAAGTAGTTCAGTTAGAAGTTGAATGAGTTGAGTGAATTAAAAGACTTTGTACCTCAAATATACACACTCCACCTGATTAGCTGTTGTGTGACATATTGGAGGCAGTCACGAAGGTTCATAAAACTATTGAACTTACTTGACATCATCCCTCCAGATTTGTTTAGGTGTTACTAGAGGTACCAAGTTTTGAGTCTTCCAGGTCATAAACAAACAAAAAAAACCTGCAGGACACCTGCCCCTTAAGAAATAAGGTCTGAAAACAGTTTGGAGGTAAAGCAAACTCACAAAGTTTACACAAGCAAAGATAAGGTTAACAATTTGTTTTTAAAGTGAGATGTTGCATGCTGTGGATATGACTCAGAGCCTTTTGTAGAGACAGGATGATTCAGCTTTTGCTCGCCCACTTGCTTGAATGACTTTGTGCCCAGAACAGGTGTACTTCCTTACAGCTGCAGCAACACTTCTGGACCCCGATAGGAATGACAACGCTTGCCTTTGTCATTCAGATTAGCTGCTGAATATTTCACAATGTCCGGATTTAAAGCATTTTATGGATCAAATCCAAGCACAGCTGTAATCTGTGTGAAGCTGTGGTTGATTTCTGAATTTGATCAAATATTATGAATAGGAAGATTTGAATTCATTAAAAGTAATTGGTGTCAGAAATGTGTCCTATTTTCTGTTGATTCACTCTCCTCCTCTCGGTTATCATCTCCAATAATCTGATCTAATATATAATCTTGCTTTTCGAACCCCTTCTTTCTCATCAGGCTTCATCGGATTTTTTTTTAAAACTAATTTACTGCAAAAATATGGTCTTTCTTAACAGATACAGGTGGTTGCTGTATGCACATAACACAAGATGTGATTGTCTGTAACCGAAGTAACATCTAATATTAATGTAAGCGTGTGTTTAAAGGGGCGTGTCTGCTGCCCTACTTTAACTGCCACAGTTAGAAGGTTTTATGAGGAGTTGATTAAGAAGAGGTTTAGTTGGTGATAGGTTTGCGTGATCGCGTTGCAGCCTGTTGTGCGATATTATTCAACGCTATTGAAAGCATGTGTACTGAAGAGTATTTGTTTCCATTATGTTGCTGCATCCTGTGTGTGTCTGTTTAGCTAAAGATCCAAAGTTATTTCCACTGACCCATCCTAATTTAAGACCCTGTCATCCAGTGTTCGTGTGTTTATAATCCTCACCTGGTTTCCAGCAGTGGAAAATTAATATAGTCACACATGACAGACAGGGTTTCCAATTTAACTTAGGAAATGAATATTTTTCTAAATTTAAAATCAGCAACAAAGGAATCAAATGTTTGGAATCAGGACAGAAAAATAAGCTTTTTTTTCTCTCTTCATCTGGTTTTGCTATTAGTCAGCATTCAGTTACTTTTTATGAGCTCAAGTTCATGAGTTTAATGAGTCTGTTTAAGTACTAGTTGTCAGAAATTACAGGAAAATTACTTTAAGGCTTTTGTACTTGGAAAAAAAAGCAGCACAAAGATATTTGTTTCATCCATTTATGAGCTCATTATAACAATATTCATGTTGTGGGATGTTTTCTATTGTGTTTGTTTCTCACAAAAGCCCAAGAAACTTGATCACTGAGTCTCCACGCTCCTGTTCATTTTCTCTGGATAAACCAGCACACGGGATTTGATGTTGCAGGCCTTTGTGTGATAATCCAGGCTGAATGTTCACACAGAGATAAATTCTATTGACGTGGACAGTTGCCGTGACTTTCTCCCCTTTACCTTTGTGTGGGACTTAACAGGCGATTTTGAAAAAGTCTGCCTCAGGTCATCTCTTAGGTAGCTGCGGTGACAACACAAACACAAGGGTCAGTTTATATTGCTGTACACCTGTGACTGCAGCTACATCATTGTCATATGTAGCAATTAACTGAAAATTTTATTTTATCATATTATAAATTATGTGCCAATTAACATCACAACAGCTGGATACTATTATCATAACTTCTGATTAAAGTGAACAATGCCGGGTAAATATAAACCTTTCACAGTCCATCTAATTAGAATATAAATAAACACATATTTACTGTAGACTTAACACACCTAATGAACCAATTTAAAAATCAAAAGCATACGCTTTAATTTATTGTCTTGAAGGCTGATTCCAGTTAAAAGATATTCAGTTTAATTGAAACCAATCATATAAAAATCTTGTCCCTCTCTTCTACAATTAGGATGCCACTTGCACCCCCTGGTGGATGTTGTGACTCAGTGTTCTCTCTACCTGTCTACATCTCTTATAACTCATACCTGTCTGTCTCTCTGTGTGCAGGTCTTCCAGAGCAGTACTACAGTCTGACGTGGTTCCTCAGTCCGGTCCTCGGCCTCATGTTCACCCCTCTGATCGGCTCGGCCAGCGACCGCTGCACTCTGCGATGGGGCAGGAGGAGGCCGTTCATCCTGGCTCTCTGCATAGGAACGCTGTTAGGAGTGGCTCTGTTTCTGAATGGATCGCTGATTGGTGAGTTTGTGTTATTCAATCAACAACCAGGTTGCTGTTTCCTTTTAGTAACTGATGCTTATTCTTTGTGTTTAAGTTAAAGGATGGAAATGGTAGAATCTCAGCTGCAATTTCTCACAGTTGCTTTAATCAACAAGTCACACTTGTGTAAATCATTAAATGTGTCTGTTGGAAACAGCTTCTGCTCTCTGATCAGCTGCTAAAATCTATTCATGTAATGCCAACATAAAATGAGTAGACATACTTAATGTGAACATAGATAACATAGAGAAGCAAACTGGTGAAAACAAAACCTATTATATTATATTATTTAAATTTATGTTAATGTGATTTTTTTAGGTTATTATCAAATATTTAAATTTCAGATAAGGTGCGTACTGCTGATGTTTTTTTATGTACAGTTTATCATTTCCACCTCAGAACAGATTATTTTCTTTCTTATACCCATAAAATCAAATCAGATACACACATTTCTTATATTTCTGTCGCAGAATAAACACAGACATACAAAACAAACAAATTCACAGTAGCAGAAAATGCTTATTGAGCTAGAACAGCTCAATCTACTCCACTGTACATTAACACCAGCCACTCTCATCGTTCTTTAACTCAGTTCTTTGTAATACAATAAATAAAGTCTCACTCTGGTAAGGTAGGTGAGTAAACATAAAGCCAATCATGCAGGATTGAAATGCGTGTAGCATACAGCACGAACACCAGTGGATTTAAGCACCTCTGGCAAACTGCATTTCAGGAGTAACATGCAGTTTATTAATTGAATAAACAGTTTATTTATTTAAACAATGAAGAGAAAGAGAAACAAAAAGCAGCAAAACAATAATGTAAAAGTTGGCAGCTTCAAATACAAACTCATGATCTGACACATGTTGTTACATTTTCGTCTAAAAATACAGACGTTTACTTTGTGCCATCTGCTGAACACTGTTATCTAAACCCCCTGAGCCCCATCAAGGCCTCAGTGGGAATTGAACCCCAAAACTTGCAGTTTTACCCAGCATGCACTTGTGCCACAGAGGTAATAAAAGAACAGCTTCCTTCTACAATCAGCGGAGCATCACGTACCAGAAGCTTCACTGACAGCTTAGAGTCGTGACTGATGTCTGACCTTCAGCTCATTTCGTCATCCAAATGTCATTCCAAGGATATATTCATCCAATCCAATCAAACAAATTGATCAGTTGTCAATCACGCCGCACAGATATTGATTTCCGTGCTAACTGTATCAGCGTAGCTCCGGTTGTAATGTCATTGACCAGATCTTCCTGTACACACGTAAACATACGACAAACAGAGGTTTAAGCTGAGTGGACTTTTTTTTTATCATCACATCCTTTTTGTAAACACATGAACTGTAAAACTGACCACTTGTGTTATACAATATCACAACCCAGAAAACAAATTCCCAGCCAGTGAAAGTGGTTAATCCAGTTGTTAATCTCAGTCTTGTGCAATATTGGTCAAAATTTAGGCCACTGACATTAAAATGATGGTAGGTTGTGCAAGTGTTTTTAAAAGGTTTAAAAAGAGTCCTCCGCCGATTTAGCTTTGTCGGAGCATTAATTTAAAAAAACAAACAAAAACGATTTAGTGGGTTAGGGGTTACCATTCAACATCGATTAACCCCTGGATTACTGTGATGAAGCTTAAACCAGGTTGGGCAGAGTTTTGGGGCTGATAAATGACTGAATTAATCAATTATTAATGACATTTTGGTCACTGGACTAAGTGATTGGTCAACTAGTTGTTTTAGTACATTACAAACAAGGCACACTGTAGTACTGCCTGTGGTTGGTCCACTGTTGGCAGCCGTTCACATGCATTACATGAATGAAAATGCCTTGAACCCAGAGTTGTCTCATTCAGGTGAATCTAAATTAATTAATTAAATTAAATTAGTTAATAAAACACATTTAATTGGAATCTATTCTATTTAGTTTTGAAATTGTGGCTTACAAATTATAACATTAACAACCATTTTTATGTAGATTTAATTCAGTTTCTGCTGGTATTAATGTCTTTCCAAAGTGTACTCAGTTGACCATAATTCAGAGTTGTAGTTAATACAATGTATTAGTCTCTGATGTAGTATCTTGAATTATTTTCATTGTCTCGATTATTGAATTTCAGATGATAATTATGTCTTTTAATTAGAAGCAGAATGAGTAAACATGCCACGTACAGTATAATAATGTCGCAGGCAGGCGGTTGTACCGGCGCCTGTTTGCACGTCAAGAAAGAAAAATACACTATAAAGAAGACTATCATTCATTTTATGGCTGTTGTAATGTTAACTACCATTTGTTTAAGAAAACTTGGATTTGTTGTAGTAAAATATACTGATCACACCACATCTATCACAGCAATAGCAAGAGTAATGTTACCTGGTACTGTCTTAGTATTGGAGATCATTTTTGGTCTTGAAATTCCATATTAGTGCGTGAGTCCCAGCTGTTGCCCACATAATATATTAGAGTAAATACATGTCCTGTATTCAAATGTGGACCGAGTGACAAATGTGCAGCGCAACAATAGCAGACTTGGCCTTTTTTAAATGTCCCTAAATAGAACAAAGTGAAATGAATTGTGAGTTATAAATAACGAGAACGAGAGCTGTGTGAACCGTTTTCTGTCAGCAGATTCTGTTCTATTCAATTCTTTTTTGTTCTACCTCCATTCTTCTGCAGAGAGGTTGGCACTCAGGTCGTTTTAGGGCACCAGGGAGTGTGTGTCTCTCTCTCTCTCTCTCTCTCTCTGTGTGTGTGTGTGTGTGTGTGTGTGTGTGTGTGTGTGTGTGCAGGTGTGTGTGTGTGTGTCTCTGTGTGCAGGTGTGTGTGTGTGTGTGTGTGTGTGTGAGAGAGAGAGTACCTTCCCAGCAGGGTTGACCTGGGAAAAAGCAGTGACCTGTATCTGTGTGAGACAAATGATAGGTTTCCGTGGTTGCATATATATGTGTGTGTGTGTGTATATATGTGTGTGTGTGTGTGTGTGTGTGTGTGTATTGGTGTGTGTGTATTGATGTGTGTGAACAACACAGGGTGACATGGGAAAACTGTAGTAACCTGTGCATGAGTGCGTGTGTGTGTGTTGACATGGGAACACAAGAGCAGGCAGTTCACAGGGAAATGCTTCCTGTTTGCTTCCCCCTTTCCACCAATCACAATTCACTTCCTGTCTGTCTGCCTGGATAGTGAGTAGTGCCGCTCCATTGTCCCACCACACACACACACACACACACACACACACTGCTGTTTCTTCTATGAACGTTTGTTTCCCCGACGTTAATAGATTTCAGTTTGTAAAGTCATGCTGCATCACTCTGCCTGTGATATCACACACACACCCCTCACACACACACACACACACACACACACACTCTCCCATGTCGCTCTGTGTTCATACATTCACACAATTTCTCTCTCAGGCCGGCAGACACAAACACACACTGAGCAGCTCGAGGCGATGACTAGGTCACAAATGTAATGAGACACACAAGGTCACACACGTCATGCAAAGCAGTATGGGTAATGTGCAGTGACCCATTTGTGTGTGTCTTTTGTGTTGTGCAGCTGTTGCAACTCGGTTGAGTTATCAGTTATCAATCACATGTGCAGCTCTGGCAAGGGTAACATCAGCGTGACACTTCCAGATGTTTGTGCGTGGTTGTACAACGTGATTAAATATCCTATTTAATATTTAATATATAGAATCTGTAAAATGTAAATTTACAATTAATATTCTTCTTGTACATGTGCTGTTGATATAACTTATGTTCCCATTCTGTTGATATATGTTGACCTTTTTGTTTTACATCATTGCATCAAACACACATCAAGGCACACATTACATTTCATCCATAGACGATTTAAAGGACGGATTCACTCATATGAAAATGTACTAAAAGATAAATAAAAAAACGATCTACTTGGCTTTGTACCACTGAACATGTTTAGTGGGAATTATGTGTTTTTAATTTGTAATTTAAGTGAACTGACCCTTTAAAAGCTATACATGGACAATTCCCATGTCTACATCTGTCACGCCTATTAAATATAAACATTTAATCTGCACCTCTTTCTGTTTTTAACAATCCAACAGCGTTCTATGTTATTTATTTTATAATTACATTTCTTTCTCCGTTAGGTCTGGCTATGGGCGACGAGAAGGGGAAACAACCAATAGGAATTGTTCTCACTGTGCTTGGGGTGGTGGTGTTGGACTTTAGTGCGGATGCAACAGAGGGACCAATCAGAGCATACCTCCTAGACGTGGCAGACACCGAGGAACAAGACATGGCGCTCAACATCCACGCTGCCTCAGCAGGTATTGCTTACATCTGACACACCTGTCGCACAATAACGACTTGTTGAACTCGCACTAAAAGAGAAAATGAGCTCAAACGCAATCCTTTCCTTCCTACGTCTAAGTCTAAATTTCGTTCGTGTGTGCAGGCCTCGGCGGTGCGGTCGGCTACGCTCTCGGAGGTTTAGACTGGACGCACACCTTCCTTGGAGCAATCTTCAAGTCCCAGGAGCAGATCTTGTTCTTCTTCGCTGCCGTCCTTTTCTCTATCTCTGTGGTGTTGCATCTCTTCAGTATCGAGGAGCAGCAGTACTCGCCCCAACACGACAGGCTGGACCAGGTATGGCGTGTGTAAGGTGCACCGTAAGATTAATAAACAAAGACTTTGGTTGTCACAAAACGCATTTCTCTCATCGTCCTTCTCACCAGGAGAGTCCAGATCGCACCAACTTGCAACCGTCGGCCAATGGCAGGACCGGACTTCTCGCCCCCAAGCTGGAATTGATTGGAGAGGATGAAACGATGGACAGCTACGACCTCTATGACCCCTACGAAGATGACCAGTCAGAGCGAGGGGATATGGACATGGACTTCCTGGAGGTGGAGCTTGTGAGAAGTAAGTGGTTTTTACCCTCAAATCCATAGAAATGCTGAAGTTTTGTATTGGGAATATCTGGTGGACTGGGTTAAAGAAATAGGAAAGGAAGCAATTTAGAGATTGTAACTAGCTTCTTTTGTGTTTGTCCCTTCTTGAAAAGATACAATATTTGTGGTTTTATAGATCATTTATGACTCACGGTTGAGTGGTTCGCAAAATGTACAAGTCTGCATGTTTTTATTCCCACCCATCAGGACAGTTAAACAAAACAAAACACACTCCCAATAAAGGTGTTTGCCCTCGGTTTTTACTGGAAGCAGTTGTGAAACTGATCATATTGGGCAACAAATGTAATTAAACTGATATATTAGAAATGGATTAGATATCATAAACAACCACGAGACTAAAAGTACAATATTAAATGGATTTAAAAATGAATTAGTACAGTATCAAGGAAACTGCATTCACAAGGTATCAGTTTAATGCCAGGAAGAAGTAAAGTATCACCAATAAAAGATCCATGTTAATTCACAATTCCTTGTCAGTCCCCTGGTCATTAAATGCATAAATATGTTTAACATCTGCATCTGTATACATTATATTATTAAGCTCAAGATAGTTTTGGGAACCATCTGAAGGTGCTAAGTGTTCTCATGCTGTTAGCATTGATGCTGTGTTGCACATTTTGAATAGTTAAACATGATTGTTATCAAATCCATTGCTTAAAAAAGATATCGAATAAAGTTTAATTTTGACAAATAACAACATGCAAATGGCCTCCAACAGTAATTGACACTTACTTACAATGTTGTACTAGCAACACATTAAGCTAATATGATTGCAATAATCAATAACAACAAAGTACCAACAGATAATGCCCCAACAAGGGCATTTAGGGAGTAGATAACAGATGCCTGTCAATATTTGCTTGGTCAGAGATCTAACAAAATGGTGGACGTAACAACGGCAGTTGGACTGTAACTGCTATGATACTGTGCCAGTAGGGGTTGCTATAGCAACGGAATGTTTAACTGAAACCAACTGCCGACCAACTGTCGCGGAATTCATCACATCAGAATCTAATCAGCCCTGTTGTCTGCCTTCAGGTAAAAGTGACAGCGTCCTTGCCATGGCAGACGCCACTCTGGACCACCTGGACCATGATGCGTTGTTCCTGTGCCACCTCGAGCCGTCTATCTTCGCTGACCGCCTCTCACCCTATCACGGCTCACCTCCTACGACCTCCTTCTTCAACCCCAATCGTAGCACCCCGCCACCCCGGTTCGGCAACATCCGACGCAGCAGCAGCGCGGGAAGTCAAGACCTGCTCCGCCTCCAAACCAACAACCACCAGACACACGGCCCCATCCCAAAGATTTCCCGCCTCTCGGCTTTCTTACAGGAAATGGAGAACGACGACGGTCAGGAAGCGCTGCTGAACAACCAGCTCAATGAGCAGCGGACGCTGAATGGGCGGCTTTTAGCCAGCGTGACCAATGCTGATAGAGTTAGCAATAACCGGCTGAGCTCTAAAGGACAGGCACATCGCGCTGGAATGGTCAAAGGTCGGTAGTTATTAACTGTAATTATTATTATAAATATTATTGATTATACAGTATTTTCTTAATTCCTATTTTAACTGCTATTGTAGAATACTCTTAATTCCCTATTCTCTCATGTCTTTTTGTTAAATATGAAGCTACATCCAGCAGCTACTCTAAAGCTCACTAATTAACACGTTACATCTTGTTTGTTTAACCAAAGTGTAAAAACTATAACATCTAATGGGGAGGTTATGTGCGGGATTATTTCCTGGCTGGGAGCACTTGCCAGGCAAACGGCAGAAACTTCAAGAAGTTACTGTTCCCAACCAAGACAGCCATGGTTCTTGGATTACATGACATAGACATGTGTTAATAGACATGTTTTGTTACCTTTGGACAGAGCCAGACAAGCTGTTTTTCCCTGTTTCCAGTGTTTATGCTAAGCTAAGCTAACCAGCTGCATATTTACTGTACACTAATGATATGAGAGGGGTATCGAACTCTTGGCAAGAAAGAAAATGAGCCCAACTATCTAAACTTTTAAATGGTATTTGAAGGAAATATTTAGATTTTTTATAAATATATTTATTGAGTGTGTCAAAGTTTCTGGTTTCTTGGCCGCTGACATAAAAGTGCTGAAAATGTTAGTTTTGTACAATAACATGAGGAAATGTCTTACCCTTTCATTTAATGTCTATTACTCCAGCTGCAAGTACTGGAGCCCCCATGAGGCAGTCACGCTACCGTCACACCTTCTACCGCCAGCCGTCCTGCACCTTCTCCTACTACGGTCGAGTTGGCAGCCACCGCTACCGCTACCGCCGGGCCAACGCCGCTTTTCTCATAAAGCCGTCTCGCAGCATGAACGACCTGTACGAAGTGGAGGCCAGGCACAGGCGGAGGAGCAAACAGAGAAACAGGCACCGCAGCGGAAACACTAACTCTTCCAGCGGAGATACAGAGAGCGAAGAGGGAGAGGTGAGCTGCACATGTGACACACTTTCAAGGTTTCGCTGTTGATGGTAACCTGTAACCATGACCACCATCTAGCCCTGTCATTTGTGTCCAATATGTTTGTATGTTGTTTATATCTTGTTTCCTTTCTTTAGGTTGAGACCACCGTGCGGCTGCTGTGGCTCTCCATGCTCAAGATGCCTCCGGAGCTGCTGCGACTGTGCGCCTGTCACCTGCTCACCTGGTTCTCCATCATTGCCGAGGCCGTCTTCTTCACGGACTTCATGGGACAAGTCATCTTCCATGGAGATCCTACTGTACGAGACTATACATATATATATATATATATAGTATAATGGCACGATGGATTGTCCAAACCAAGAAAGACAAGGACAATATTAAACTTTAATTTTAAATTTATTATTTATCATTAATAATTATTTTATGTGTGTGTATGTCCATATCCACATCCAACAGAAAACATACCTCCAAAATGACTAAAATAAGCAAATAAATCAAAACCAAACTCAAAATGGTTTCAGTATTTCTTTAAAAATAATTAACCACTACATGTTTGTTTTCAGGATTGTATTTTTGCCAGATTATTTTTGACTTTGTCTTTTATTCTGATATTCTCATATGTCGTGTTCAACCCTAAACTCTGTCTTAAACCCTATTTTTTCTCTCTCTCAGGCCCCTGCTAATTCTACTTTGTTGGAAAATTATCACAGAGGAGTTCAGATGGGATGTTGGGGACTGGTCATATATGCCATGACTGCTGCTACGTGCTCAGGTATACACACAAGCACACTTGCTCATAGGAATACATAATAACATGTCTCAACATTAAACTTTGGACTAACCGACCAACCAATCTTCCCTTTTCCAGCCATACTTCAGAAGTACCTCGACAACTTTGACCTGAGCATTAAGGTCATCTACATCCTGGGGACGCTTGCATTTTCCATCGGTATGAACCACCGTACGGTTATAGAACAGAATAAAAATAAATGTGAACAGCTGATAAGTAACTTGTCTTCTCTTTTCTCCCTCCACAGGAACCGCTGTCATGGCAATCTTTCCTAATGTGTACGTTGCCATGGTGATGATCAGCAGCATGGGCATCATCTCCATGAGTATCTCTTATTGCCCTTATGCTCTGCTGGGGCAGTATCACGAAATAAAAGAGGTACAGACGTATTCAACTTGAAAATCTTAAGCTGCATTTTGTAAAGAGAGCTGCTCAAAGAACCGGTTCTGTTTGATGATTCTGTTTGATATTGCTCGCAAGTTAAAGATGTGTCAGGTAACAATGTGCATCAGGATGAGCTATTACTGAATCTTTATTGAGTTAATATGTAGCTTTCAGTGACATTCATTAACTGTGACTTCCTCTGCCTCCTGCAGTACATCCAGCACAGTCCTGGTAACTCCCGGAGAGGCTTTGGCATCGACTGCGCTATCTTATCTTGCCAGGTGAGAGTTCATATTGTTTTAAGGAAATCTTTGTGCCATCGTATGCGATAGTATTTAAAAAGAGTGTGTTGTTAATAAACCTTTGTAATTTTGCAGGTGTACATCAGTCAGATCTTGGTGGCTTCAGCTCTGGGCGCTGTAGTGGAAGCTGTCGGCAGCGTCCGTGTCATTCCCATGGTGGCCTCTGGGGGCTCCCTTCTCGGATTCTTCACCGCCTGCTTCCTGGTCATTTACCCGACTCCAAACAGCCGGTGAGAAAACCGCCTGGTCTTACAACAATATCTTAACAATTTCCCTACAATTCGTTATTAACTTAACAAACGTGAAGTGATTGTGTAAAGCAACAACCGCTGACAAAGCAGGTGCTAATATAGCTTTTCTATATTTTACTCGAATTATCATCAACTTCCTTGACTTCACCTGGTTCACTCTCTCCGCTCTGTACTGTATGTGTGTTGGGAAAAAGCAGAGGAGAGAGACAGAGAAGCTAGTGCAACCATTACTGTACAATGTGGTAGAGAACTGTCAGCATAGTTTCTTTGCTTTTTCATTTTCATTTATCTTGAATGATTTCTGTGTGACACATCATAAAGCTCAGATTAGACACGGTCAGAACAAGCTTCTCTCACCAGGGTAACGAGTCCCCCATTTAAGGCGTGATTAGTTACAGTTGGTTACCTGAAAAGGATCGGCAGCACCTTTTTCTCTCTACAGCCGCATGCTGCCTTATCTCTCCTCATTGAGAACAACTCAATGGTGCTCAGAAAACATGTGGACACAAGCCATCAGTCACCTGCTGTCGTTAAAAGAATAGACTGGCTGTCCAAAAGTAACAAAATCCACCTACCTGCACCTCTAAAGCTCAGTTGTTATGACTGTTTTCAGTCTTTCAGTCAAACTAACCAACATGTGTCCCAAATTGTCGAACTATTCCTTTAAGGCCAAAATACTAACGGTTGTGATTTTAATTGTGATTGACAGGGAGGGTGATTCAGCCAAAGCTTCGGAGAAACGGGCCTTGACAACGCTGGAAAATCCCAATAGCAACGAAGTGGCTGTTGCCGTGGCGATAGAGAAACCAAGCTTCCTGAAACTCAACAAGGAGGGCAAGGCCACCTCCACCACCACTTCCTGTCACACGGAGAACGAGTCTGCTCTGTGATCGGCCGGCCGGGTGGACAGACGCTTTGCTGCAGAAACGACTAAATTCACTTTTAAAATGGAAACACTTTAAGATGTGCCGCCGTCCTCATCGTGCTGGCGTGAGTTTGTTCCACTCTCGGCGTCCGTTTTTGCTTTGACAGGCTTTTTTTTTCTGATTCAGTTGCTGAAGAAAACGACTCAATCTGCCGTGGGACCAGTGTTACACCAGACCAACTTACCGTACACAAAAAAAAAAAAAAAACATTCTGGTCCCAGTGCTGTTTCAGCCATCACCGATATTCCTTCCACTTAACCCTCACGGACATTCGAGTGATCCGCCAGGGTCGTCCACAAGTGAGAAATTCATTGCTCATGGTTTTAAGGAGAAGGTTGTCTCTGTCTCTCAGGGCCTCTGGGAGGTGCTACTGAGCAGCTGCCTGGACAGGAAACTTCAGGGGACTCACACGCATACATACACGCACACAAACCTCTTTATCTGAGGTCAACGTAATCGAATGAACAACTGAAATAATGAACGATGAACATTTGTCCTCGAAGCTGCAAATCATTCAAAAATGCTGAAAATTGTTCTTCCTCGCTGTGGAATCGGCTTGAATCGAATCTTTGCACTGTGGTGCGGAAAAGCTGATGGACGAGATTGTGTGTGTCTGTTGACTTCTACAGCGGAGGCATCGTGTTCACCAAAATAAACCCAACGACATACTCAACTTTGCGGGACTTTTTACAGCACTCGCGCGACAGTAGCTTTAAGACTCTGGAGACTTGTGGAAATGTCTAAAACTAAGAGCCCGAAGCCTGGTTCCTGGGGGGAAAATGATTGATAGTGAGTGCCCAAAATGAGTGCCCAATGATTGCGAGTGTGTTTTTTTTTTTTTTTGGATTCAGCCTTCACTCTAGGGCAAAGTTGACAATATTTAAGAGCATGAGCATAAAGTTGCCTGTATATTGAGAGTCAAAAAATACAGATTTGTATCGAGTGAAATTCCAGGAAAGAAGGAGCATAGATGCAATATGCGCAGAGTATACAGGGCATTAAAATCCCAAATATTATTTTCATGATTTATTGAGGGCCCAGAATGATGCTTGTGTTTGTTTTGAATAATCAGACTAACCTACATGCTGCATGTTAGAGGAGCAGAGAAGAGAGAAACCAAACCGCAGAGAAAAGAGATGTGGAGTTGTTCTCCTTCTCTCTACTTTCTTGTGCAATTTGTTGTTTTTGTTTTTTTTAGAAAATGCTATTAGCACATTGTATGTCACTAACTGCACATTAGCTGAGCCATTGTTAAAAGTTAAATAGCATTAGGTTAGAAAAGCGTTGAAGTCCTCTTTGAGTGTGTTGGAGTCGTTCGTATTAGGACACCAGCAGGACGGGGCTTCTGCTCCAGTGGATCCAGTAACTGTACCAGTAATTGTCAGAGAATGGGAACCAAGAATATTAGAACGGAGCCCGCATATATTGGAAGAGAAGTTATTGTAAACATTGTGTTTCCAGGGCTTATATAATGTAAAAGAGGCAAAAATGAATCCTGCTAGTGTTGAGTATTGGTAGCCCGTAATATCAGGTTTAGGCTCGTTACTTGAGCCTCGATGGAGGATGTACGTTCCTGGTTTAAGTGTCTTAGTCATTACATCTGTGTGTTGAATGGATGTTTAGAAGAGGAGAGAGGGATGAGTAGTGGGATGAAAGGAGGACTGGAGAAATGTTTTTACTTAAAAAAAAAAAAAACAATTTGGGAAATGCTTTTTTTGACTTTGGTGCTGAGAGTTATACGGTTATACGAGAATACTGACACCACTCTCACGGTTATCTTATCTTAGCATATAGACTGGAAATAGTTGGATGTGGGTTCTTTTGACCAGGCTAGCTGTTTCCTGTCTTTATGTTAAGTTACGCTAGGCTATGCTAAGCTAAACGCCTCTGGGCAAGAAAGCAAATAAGCATATTTTCCAAAATGTTACAACTTTGAATTGTTCCAAATTTGGAAATGCATGTCTTAATATTTTTAAAGAGTCCCTGCAGACCCAAAAATCTAAAATCAGATTTCCAGTCTTGAAAACTACAACTTCACCGAACTTCACCCTCCGAAAAAAACTACAAAATATCAAGAATAATCGACCAAATGAAAGTTTACCACCCAAAGCCAGCTTGCCCATGACCAGAATATATTGCGCCATGATTACATTACAGTGGTGTAAGACATGCCTCTGATGCTCCAATTTAACAAAATTGCTTTTGCAAAATGGCTGCATCTGCTGTTTGATGAGGGCAAGCGGTGGCAGCGGTGTGAAGGTGGATGAGGAGGTAAAACTGTTGAGTTTAGATTTACGTTGACCCCGTTTAACATTCACACGCACTAATGAGACTAATCCGAAAAATATTTAATCAAAAACAAAGGAGGGGATACATGCAAGTTGTATAAATTAAAACTTAACTCTTATTAATGCTGATTAATATTGAATATAGATCAAATAATCTTAATCTTTGGAATGTTTTCGATAGCTTGACAATGTAAAAAAAAAGATCTTGTAGTTAGACAAAATGAAAGATTTTATTGTGTCGTTCGATTTCTGACAAATCAGAACTTTTGTTGCAATAACGGCCTCCATTAATCATCTGAGGGAAGAGGACTGTGTGCGGATCGAGAACAGGGTTGTTTGTGGTGGTGAAACAAAAACGTTCCGGGTGTTTGTTTTTTTTCTTTCCTATATTTTCCTGTCAGGGGAAAAAGTTGTGGATTGGTTTTCCTTTCAGCTCAATCAGCTGAAACATGCAAATTGAAAGGAATCGAAATGTAAAATTGCAGTGCGTCTATTTACTAATGAAAGAACGTTTTATTTTTAGCGTGTATTAAAAGCATTTAGTGGACAAACTTATTTTTAATCGTTTTCTAGAAGAGAATTCACTCACTGGTGATGTGGTTGTTGTTGTTATTATTATTATTATTTTTTCACTTGGATGGGTGCCCTGTCTTTTTAACAAAATAGATTCCTTCCATAATTTCAGGTACATTCAGTCAGTCCCAGAGCAGCGTAGAGAGAGAGAGAGAGAGAGAGAGAGAGAGAGAGAGAGAGAGTATTTTGCTTCCTGTGATTCTGGGACAAAAAAAAAAGAAGCAGGGATGGGACAATGACTAAAGATGGAGAGGTACAGACGCCAGAGTTTTTGAATGGCTTCTGTAACCACTAGGGCAATAACATATTCTGGATAAAAATGGACACTTAACTTCAGTTTAAGGACGAACATGAAGCTTAAAAAAAGAAACAACAAAAAAAAAAACTTTGGGTTTGGGAGGTTTGCATGCGACAACAGCAATATGCATGTGTGGAACACCAAAGTATGACTCTGTACAAATCACTCAAGCTCTTTTTCTTTATTGTCCTAATAGGTCAGGGATGTATTTTCTAATGCATGGCTGGATGTTTGTGTCTTTTTGTTTGAACCTAAATGTGTTAAAAAAAAAAAAACAACTACAAAATCAACATGTACTCTTTAAGCTGAAGCATTGTGCTCGGTCTGGGTCAGTACACTCTTAACAAGCATGTGACTTTTTTTTTTTTTTTTCTTGCACATTTACAAGTAAAGTTTCAGAAAGCACGCATCTCGTTGCTTTTTCAACACGACGTACAAGTTGATGGATGGAAGGTGTTGGGGAAAACTATAAGATGCGTGTCATCCCGAGAGACACTCCTTGTTAAAAGTGTAGGCGAGAAAACTCCAGGCCGCAAATACTTGAAGTGCAACTTGAGTGTTTCTGTTTCAATGCCATGGGAAGTCTTTTGACTTTGGGGTTTTTTTTACGTTCTTAATGTCCCAAGCCTTTTACAGCAGACTCTGGAATGTTCAGACAGCAGCTCGGCCTGCTGGGAGATTGAGTTCTTACCTTTGATTCCATCGTGTGACTTAAATGTTTAAAAAAGAAAAGAAAGAAAAGTCAATGAATGTGATTTGAATGTGAATCATTTTTGTTTCAATGTTTGGCAAACTGGGGCGGGGGAGGGTTTCGGATGTTGGGGTCTGACATTGCACAGAACTTGCACATAAGTAAAAAAAAAAACACCCTAAAAAAAAAAACAGTAGAAGTGTGTTGCAAAAGTAAAGAGAGACAATAACTGTGGATATTTATTTTTTTAGATTTCTTGTCTATAAAGGACACTTTTCACATAGTTTCCAAAAGAAAACATTAAAGCTATTATATTTGCTGTTACGAGAGATGTTACAGAAGCGGACTGGATTGTGTGTGTGTGTGTGTGTGTGTGTGTGTGTGTGTGTGTGTGTGTGTGTGTGTGTGTGTGTGTGTGTGTGTGTGTGTGTGTGTGTGTGTGTGTGTGTGTGTGTGTGTCTGTGTGTGTGTGTGAGAGAGAGAGAGAGAAAAGTCGTCTCACAGCTGCTCACATGTAAAGCAAAAAGGCAAGAGTGTGTTACAAAATGTCATCTCAGTGTTTGTTTTTTGGTTCTTGTTCTCTGTTCTTTGCAATCACCTGGTTTACACTTAACTCTGGAATCAATGGCTGCAATACCGGAGGTTATTTACGAGTCTTTACTGTTCTGGTGTTTTAACTCAACTAGAAAAAAACTTTTTGTGTGTGTGTATCTAGGCAGAGCCACACATGAGAGTTTGGCCTTTGCACTTTTTCAGTGGCAGCCATGTTGGCTCCACCGTCCTGATCGTTGGGGTGAATGTGACGACGTGGTGATGCTGTTTCATGTTTCCAGCCAGCAGCTGTCAGTGGCAGCAGCATGGCGGCCATGCAGTTAGTCCAACCTGGCCAGACTCGGTGTGTGTGTGTGTGTGTGCGTGCGTGTGTGTGTGGCTCTGCCTATAAGTAAACTGTGTGTTAATGACGGAGGAGAGAAATGCCTATATACTTTGATCTTTACAGAGATTAAATCAAGAAGAATACTTAAAGAATGGGAAAGCAAGTATGCGCAGTGTACTATATATAATATGCCTTGTTATTTGAAAAAAAAAGATGTAAATATACGTATTTCTCTTTTAGTTTCTTCTTTTTTGCTGCTATAAAAAAGATGATTATTTTTGTTAGTAGTTTTGTTTTCTATATAAAGACTGTATATATCTCTATGTTCTGTAAATATGCTTGAGCCTTCATATGTAGGACTCTGGATAAACACTGTATGGAACGCACCTTTAAAAAATGTTCAGAAGTAAACCAACAATGACTCCTTTCATTATTCATTTTATTTTTATTTTCATTTTATTTGTTTATTTTTGCAGGGACAGCGCACCGTTAAAAGTAATTGTACCAGAGTTATCGAACAGGTAAAGAAAAAAAACAACCACAGAACAGAAAATACATAAAAGTCCATCGGTGTGAGATAATAAATATAATCAATATGATATGGTCAGCAAACACATTTTAATGGGTGTTCAGATACTCTTTAAAGTGCTCAGAAAAAAATTGCTCATGAAGATCATGTGATATAAAAAAAAGCTCTAAATGGACCCTGCTGAGGTTACATTGTTTTCTCAATTGTCATGATCATTTTATTCATCGCTGTGACATCTGAGTTTTTCGTTGTGTAAGGAGGGACTACTGATTTGGGCTTTCATCCCACACTGTCAAAACATTGTGAAACAGTTTTTTTCTCTGTTGCACACATCCCTAAATTACTTCAATGGGAACTCTTTCGATTTTAGACTTGTTTTATTTGTTGGCAGCTGGGTTGATTATTTTCATAGCTTGCAAACAGACACATCAGTCTAACTTGTATGCGCACAGTTCTTGCATCAGCTTTACTACAGGTGAACAGGATAAAAACATAATAAACTATTAGATGTCACCAGGAATCTTCCCCAGTTGATTACTTCAATTAAGGGTTGTTTAAATGTGCAAATGATGCATTATCTAATTAAAAATGCACTATTTTGCATATGCTCACCTGGTAGAGCCACATGGAGTCCTTACCGCATAGTTCGGGGTTCGATTCCAACCTGCAGCCCTTTGCTCGCAATCTTCACCTGTCCTATCAAAATAAGATTATTTTTTCATTTTGTTGATATATTAGAGTAAAAGGTTTTTACAGAGGGAATGTTGGAGATCTCTTTTTAATCACACAATAAATAAGAAAATACTGGTAACAGCCACAGAGAAAATCTTTTTTTTATTACTGTAAAACGCTATACATTTGTAAGACACTACAGGTGAAAAGGGTAAAACTTGTAAGGAAGAGATATCAGAAAAAAAATATTTTTTGTTTTAAGAAATATTATGTATGAATGTTCAAATGATTATCTAATGCTAACTTTTGGTGGATATAAGTGAACTCTAAAGACATCTACAGATATATAGACAAAGTATAGGTAAATAAACACCTTAATGTGTATTCTGAGCATTTTACAGCATTTTATAAATACAGGGCGGTGACATTTTTGTGCTGACTTCAGCCAGATCTTGAGGCTGCAAAGAGCTCTAAGAGTCTCTAATGTTTCATACCAGTAGATGCTCTAGTCCCACCAGCACTGCCACTGCTGGGATAGACCAAACTTCCTTGAAGACAGTGATGCCCAACCTGATCGCCAAAGCTTCACAGGGGGTCACAAGGCCTTTATGAGTTTAGTGGGTGTAAGAAACCAAAAGAAAACAACAACACACATTAGATTTATATCTCTGCATTTAAATAATTTCTTTGAAGAGAACTAAATACAGAGAGGGAGAAAAAAAAACTGAATTTGTCCAAAATTAGGTATGTTTGATTGTTAAAAATCATAATTTTTTACAAAAAAAATCTGGAAAACTTATAATAATAATAATAATAATAATAATAATAATAATAATAATAATAATCTGCTCAAAATTCATCCAAATTCCTCATCTTATACAGACTCAATAAAATATGTGACATACTCAGGGGTCAAAATATGAATCAAAAAGGGCCTTACAGCACACCAAGAAACTGTGACGTCTGAGTATTTATCTTTAATTTCATATCTATGGAGAGTGTTGCATGTCATCATCCATGTGACTGCTGGTGAAGTAACCTGTAGGTCTGCAGTTTCAGTAATACATCAACATTTTTCATTTTTGGGGGAAGAAAAAAAAAAACATCTTAACTCAGCATCTTCAAAGCAGTCAACTGGTTTCCCATAATGCCGTGCAGTCGGACCACTCAGAGAGGAGAGGAAGATAAAAAAAATATTGCAGATTCAGATTTCTCTCTCATGCACAGGGTTAGGGCCCCTCTCTCTTTCCATACAGAGAAACCAGAGAAGGAACCTGAAACTAGTGTCTGACCCAGACTCATCATGTGACCGCAGGACCAGCTGGTGTGTGTGTGTGTGTGTGTGTGTGTGTGTGTGTGTGTGTGTGTGCGCGTGCGCGTGTGTGTGCGCGCGCGCGTGCATGCGTGTGTGTGTGTGTGATGTACTTATGCAAAGGTATAAACTTACAGGGCCAGAACATTTTGTTAAGTGAGCTGTAATGACATGCTGCCCCTTTGGAGGGATTAAAGGGAAATACACTCAAATTAATGACTTTAATGCTGTGACGGACGACTCACTCTGTGAAACTGAGCTGCTCTTCTCTAATATGTAATCAATAACAACTAGAACATTTTGAAAGCGAATCCTTTCCACACATATTTACCACATCTTCATCTTCAAAAAAGGTCCAGTACACACATGTAGACTGTGGTTTTGGGTCATTTTGAGAGAAAACTGCCTTCTGGTTATGTCGTGTTAGACAAAGTCACTGAAAGTGGTTCACATGCTGCTTTAGAGTGTAGCAGATTACACACAGACACACACACGGGTCAACTTTCCCATATTTAACTGGATATTTCAGCTATGTGCCTGAACAGTAAAATTATAAAATTATAATCAGGTATATATTTGATTTGTTGCAGTTCATTATGAATCAGTATTCTGTACCCTGCAGTTACAGACAATCTGCTGCTGTGGTGAGACACTGTCCTCTGGTGGAACAAATCAAACAAACTGATTGAATCAAGCTGTTTTTAGTTGCTTTCTGTTGTGCAAAATTATTCACTGTAATATGAAGTCATACAAAGTGTAACTGTTAGAGAGTATTGGGCAGGGGCATGTCTCAGTGAATCCCGTAATTAAAAGTTATTACTGATTAATAGATGTGTGGGAAGAGAGGTATTAAAGCACATCAACAGCAGCTGTAGAGACACCTCTACTTGTATTATACTGCAAGATTGAATTTATTTACACAGGTTGTAAAATAAAAAAAACAACAACTTTACATCTAACAGATAACTACAATTCAGAAAAACGTATTAAAACATAAATGCAATGAAGAAACATTAGTAAGAAATGATAAGCCAAGAACAATCAGTAGTGGCCATCTGTAGTTTGTTCAGTGTTTTCCCAAACTTATGTAAATAAAAAAATAAGAAAATATTTTTCTAAAACAACACGCAAACATCTACATTAGGCACTAAAAGTCTCATCTACTGTATGTTCGTCATATACTGTGAACCTCCCCTGAACCTCTTTTTTTTTCTGTGTGACGCTGACGACACCCTTCCATTTAAACACTTGTAAAATTATAAACAAAACCATTAAAGACAGCTGCAATGTACTTGAAAGACTAACTGTGACAAGTGTTTACGTTTCTGAAGAGAGCTTTTGACTCAAGACTCCATCCCGTTGTTTTGTTCTTAAACTCTGTCTTTCGTCATTACGTAATTTTTCTGAAGGTTTTCAACTTCTACTTTGGCTTTACACAGCAATACTGGTAGAATATAGGGAGAAAATGGTGAGACAGTAGCACACAATAGAGTGTTTGGATCTGTATTTTGACATTTTAACCTTTATTTGACAGGTTACACTGAAGATACAGAGGAAACATACAACAAAGGTCTCTTGGTGGAACTAAACCGAGGTCGTTGCAGTTTTGTGGTTACATTAATTACAGTGAACAATGTCCTAAATGATTTTAAAAAACAAAACGTTTAACTTCAAAAAGAGAAAAAAAACTATATCACATGAGGCAAAACTTGTGAGCTACTCAAGTTTGCAGTTGCACTCCCTGACCACTTTATTAGGTTACGACATTAGACAGTCCCTCCAGGAAGTTGCGGTGTTGTGATCTGAAAAATTAACGTAAATTCAACCAATCCCCGTGAATTCTGTGCGATCTTGCAATTTTGTCCAATCACTGCAACTTTTGCACAAATTTGACCAATCATTGTAGTTTCCCACAAGTTGCCAATTAAGCATTTTAGATTGCAACAATCCTTAAAAAATGACAACAAAATCCTGTAGGGACTGATTAGAGACACCTCTCGATATAATACAGACCAGTAGAACATCACTCTCTGGACCTCAATAAGAAACATACAGTTAAATTAATACGTCTCTGACTACTACTACTGTTGTTCAAGATCTTAGGAACATTTTTTATCTTTTCAGCATCACAATTTAATAAAGCCTGTGGTCTCTCCAACAGTACAAGCTCATCAGTATCCCTTTGTGGTCCAGTATTTGTTCTCATTAGTCTCAGGACAACAACCAAGCAAGGTAAGGAGGACAGAAAGATTAGAGATAAAGGGATGAGGATAGGTGGAGGGAGGCCGCCACTGAAGTGTTTGTTTTTTGTTCATCATGAAGAGAAGTTTGCAGTGTATACTTGTGTTCATTTCTGTTTTTTTTGACGTCTTAATTTAATTACTTTTGATCCTTTCCAGCCTCTCAATCTTTATCTGTATCTGTTCCATCCATCCCTCTCGGTGAGTCTCTTCAGGTGTTTCTCTGGACTGCTCCGTCCACAGCTGCTGAGGGGGTCACCTGTCTTTTAAGTGGACTGTTCCATGTTGGCCACAGAGAGGGGAGTGCTGGTGAAGGTGAGTGTGGCCACGCTGTGAGCTATCGCCAGTGCTGTACCTGGATATTTATTCACTGAATTCCTCTCCCCTTCTCCCCCACTTGTGTGCCCTGCCTCGCCATCCCCCTCCCTCGCTCCCCTCCTCCTCGTCCTCCACACTCTCTTGAAGCTGTCCGTCACAAAGCAGTAAACCACTGGATCCAGGCAGCTGTTCAGGCTGCTTAGGGTAACTGTGATGTGATAGGCAAGTACATGCCCCGCACCCTGCGCTAGCCCTTCCTGTCCGACTTTGACCCGGAAGTAAACCAGCACCTGTCGGATGTGGAATGGTGTGAAGCAGATGGTGAAGACCACCAGGACAGTGGCCAG